TATCGTTGCATGCTATGACTTACAAGCGGTAATAACCGTTCCTAAAGGAGACGTATCAACCTTCTATTATAAGTCCAAAATAAATTGTTTGCATTTTACCATATCGGAATTGAAAACAGACAATGTGGAATGTTACTTTTGGGATGAATCTCAAGACAACCGTGGAGCCAATGAAATAGGTAGCTGTGTTTTGAAGTTTTTGCAAAAGAAGTCTTCTTTCTCTAATAAAGATCTTGATATAGTGTTCTATTCTGATAACTGCTGTGGCCAACAGAAGAACCAGTTTATCATTGGAATGTACGTCTATGCAGTATTAAATCTCAAAGTAAAATTAATAGCCCATAAGTTCTTAATCCGAGGCCACACACAAAATTAAGGGGACGCAGTACATTCAACGATTGAGAACGAAGTAAAAAAAAAGTCTTAAATCTGGACCCATTTACGTACCTTCCCAATACGCTTGTGCCATCAGAAGTTCGAAAAAACGTGGGACGCCGTACATTGTAAATGAGATGGGATACGAAGATTTTATGGATTTGAAACAACTGCCAGTTATTAAGCTAAATAGGAGTGTTGATGGTGTGGTTGTAAAGTTGTTTGATATAAAAGTCATTAAAATTGAAAAGAACGTAATGAATGAGATTAAAATATTCTATAAAACGTCTTATTTTAATGACTTCAAGGAACTTGATTTGGTTTAAAGAACATCCAGAAACAGCCGACCTCAAGAACTTAAACCATTGTACCACCAAAAATTGGATATATCCGAAAGGAAGAAAAATGACGTGAGGAGTCTTGTGGATGCGGGGTTGATTCCTGGATATTACCGATCCTACTATGAAAGTATTTTTAATTGAAAATGTAATAGCTCTTAAGTATTATCACATTTATACAAATGCCTATTTGCATTTTTTGTTACGATTCGTTTATTTTCTTAGTTTATTTTGATAGTCTTAAAATATTTGATTTTAATTAAACCATTGCGTGATATTGTCGTGACTGATTCGAGTAAGGCTTTCTTTTGTAGTACATAAAAATAAATAATTTATTCATCTAAAATTAGTTTTTATTTTATTCTTGACATTCATTTACTATTTTGGAGTAGTAGAATAGTAGAAGAGTTAATGAATTAAATATGCCATTAAACAAAAATTACTTGATTGTATAAAAACAAAAGTGACACTATACTGAATTTTTTTTCAAATACCTTTTTGTTCAACAAACACTAGTTAATTTATTTAAAAGTTATTTTATACTGAAAAAGAGATAATTAAATTATTATTTAAACTAATCACATTGCTTGTTTTCAATTTATTTTTAAGTCTGGGCATAAAAATCATGTTAAAAAACTTTAAACAGCTATACTGTAAAATTGGGTTTTTTATATAGTGCCACTTTTGATTTCAATCTGCGAATTGTTTTATAGTTTCCTAAGAACCAGAAAAAAATTTCCAATTTTAAATTTACCTCCAAATAATTTGAATGCTGATTTCGAATATATCATCAATATTTCTGTATCTATTTCCGCTTTAACCGCTTCTTTTACAACTAAATGATCCAGCTTTTTTCTAAAAAGTCCAAAGTACAATATAATGTTGATACATCAAACTTTTCTAAAACTGATAATGATAATGTTTTAATCCTCCTAGCAGAGGGATAAAAACGCAAAAAATCCATTTATTAAGAATCTGAACACCGTAGAAAAAAATGTTTCAATTAAAAAATGTAACTACGATAATTTTAAACAAAAATGTTTATGAGTATTTGTTTTGTAGAATGAACCGTTTTCTTAGAAACAACGCTTGTAGTCACCGTCGATTTGCATGTCAGTTACTCGCGCGCAACCAATGTTCAATTTAATTTGTATCAGCTTGACGGTAAAAAGTCGATATCTTTTTATGCAAGTGTCCTATCGACAAAAATCAAGATTAATAAACTCAGTTTTATATATTACAAAAAGGCGTAACATGCTAGTTGTGGCTTTTCTAAAAGATATTTTAAAATATTTGAATGCTCTTAACACAGAGTTACAAGGAAATGAAAAATTAGTATGTGATCTGATAAAAAGCGTGTCTGCTTTTCGTTGTAAGCTGGATATCTTTGAAAAAGATATTGCACAACAAGAATGCATTCATTTTCAACGATTCTTGAATACAATAAAAATAAGGAGTACTCCGAAGAAGACATTGCAGTGTTCGTAAAATTTCTGGGTGATCTTAGGAACGAATTTGCTTTAAGATTCCAAGACTTTACAGGTAAGCAAACTATCTTCATTTCTAAAATCACTTTTTCAAGTTGATGCAGCGGCAGAATGGACAGATGTGTCTGCTAAGCTGTTTAATCTGTCAAAAGCATTACTTCAAATGAAGATTATTGAATTACAAGAAGATTGGTCCTTGCATGTTTATAAATCGGTATACGCTGAAGAATTTTAGGTCAAACATGTGCCAGCAAAATCAATCAATTTGATCACTATGTTTGCCTCAACGTATATGTGCGAAACGACTTTCTTAAAAATGAATTTTTTGAAAAACAAATATCGCTCCCGATTAATGGACGCTCACCTCGAATAAAGTCCCAGTACTGGGACTTTTCGTATTGAAAGAGGCGTTCGGCATGGAGACAACATGTCTCCTAAATTGTTTACAACTGTGCTAGAATACGCTTGTAAAACAATAGATTGGAACGAAAAGGGCATCAATGTAGATGGAAAATTTTTAAATAACCTTAAATTTGCAGATGATATCGTTCTTATTGCAGACAGCTTTGATCAGGCACAGATAATGCTCCAAGAACTCCATACTGCCACAAAAAGAGTTGGTCTTAAAATAAATTTTTCAAAAACACAATTTATGACAAATTTAGTCCACAACAAAAACATCCCAGTAGAAGACAAAGATATTGAGCCAGTTGACTCCTATAAATACTTAGGCCATGAGATCAGAATAAGTCGAGACAACGAAACAATCGAGCTGAAAAGAAGAACCTCGCTTGGGCTGCATTTGGAAGGATGAAGGATATTTTTAGGTCTAAGATTCCAATGTGTCTGAACAGAAAAGTATTTAATCAATGTATTTTGCCAGTGATGACCTACGGCGCAGAAACCCTAACGCTCACAAGAACAACAGTGAGTAAACTATAAGTTGCGGAAAGAGCAATGGAGAGAATTATGTTAGGGATTTCTCTACGTGATAGAATACCCAATGCTACTATACCATCGAGCAAAAAGATAAAAGAGGGAATCTAATCGTTATGAAAAGGAGACCAAAAAAGTGGCCTCTGATGGCGGACATATCCGGAAATGCAAAGGCGCTAAATTTAAATTTTCCAACACTTGTTAACAATAGCTGTAAAATATTTTTCAGACAAGAAAGTTTTAATTAAATATTAACGATAATAGTTTAAAAAGTGACACAATTGGTAAAAAACTTCAATATAAATAAAATTTCATGTGACAGTTGGGACAAACAATAACATAACCAAACTAAATTTGACTTCTTAAACAAGGAAAGAGACTATCTTTCCTTGTTTAAAGTGGCCTCTCAAGATAGCACTTCCTGTCTAACAATATTTTTGTCCCCACTACCTTTACATTCCCTCTTTTATCTTTTTGCTCGATGTACTATACGCAAAAGATCAGGAGTAGCAGACGTTATTGAAAGGATAACAACACTAAAGTGGAACTGGGCAGGTCATGTAGCAAGATCAGTTGATGACCGGAGGACAAAAAGAATTTTGGAATGGAGACCCCGAATACAAGCTAACAGAAATAGAGGTCGACCCCCAACGAGATGGACAGATAACATAAAAAGAGTGACTACAAATTGGATTCAGATGGCGCAAAATCGGACTAAGTGGAAAAGCATGCGAGAGGCCTATGTTCAGCAGTGGACGTTAGAGGCTAGTTGATGATGATGATGATGACCTCGAATAAACACTTCGAATCTATGAATAACAAGATAGGATCTTCCCGTAGCCCAAAATCGGTCGTGTTCGCGCATGCCGTCATTGGAGAGTAGAATTTGAATTTTTGTTTAAGTTAAATGGGATTTGTATGCATTCTGTGATGAAATTACTAGACGAAAATAAGTTGAGAGGTTTAATAATTACAATAATCGTACACATAAGGATATCTCCAAACTATTTATTAAATATTATTTATTGACACATAAAAAAAACTGACATTTCTAACGTGCAACTCTCCAATGACGTCACGATTTATGCGCAATATCTTCTTATCATAGTATCATGCTTCGAATGGACCGCCGGAGTGATGACGTAGATTTGATTGACATCTGTCAGTTTCACTTTCCAAACAAGAGTTGTTTAGTGTGGATAATTTGTATTTTTCGTTATTTTTTAATTTTTTTACAGAATCTTTCCGCTTTTTGCAATATCTAAGTATTCTAATAGTTACTACAACAATTTTACAAGGTTGTGTAAATAATAAAGCATGTTGTTTTATAAAAATAGCAACACAATGCATGCATCAATAAAGTAAGGTTAGAATTTCCTTAATGTATACTTTTAAACTATATTTCATAGAAATAGAACACTGAATTGTGATGGTATTATCGTAAAAAACACTATACTTAAAAGAAAAAGTAGCAGAGGAAGCAAAATATTAACTTTATAGAAATTAAAAAGTCTTGAGATTTGACATTTCAACTTTGGTTTGGAAAGTAATGACAGCAATATGACAGATGTGACGTCCAATGGTTCAAAACCGTCGGTGCATTTTTTGCATTAATTTAAAGTCTTGTGTTTTATCATTAAGAATGTACCTAAGTAATAAACATCTTGTCATCAAATGTTATCATTTGTTTTTTTTTTTCTGGATCTTATTCAAATTTTCTTTTAGTAACCGGACCCCCCATTAAATGACTTGCCGACCTCTGATTTAAGGTCGATTCAGACACATCAGTCCCGTCATAGTCTCGGCGCCGAACCGATCCTGTTTGGTCACAGAACTATCAACTATCTGACAGCTGGGAAACTGTTTGTCAACTGATGAGTGTGAATGCCGGCAACATTTTGTATTAAAGAATATTTTGTATGACGGATTGTTCGGTTCGGCGCAATCACTGTGACGAGACGTGACTGATGTGTCTGAATCGACCTTAAATCAGTCAAATTATATGACAGTGCTGCTGGGAACGTAGCTAATTCTAATATCACGGCTTGTGAAGTAGAAATGACATTGGTTTTAATATACTGTTGGAGTCAATATGCTTTTAGTAACTGCTTCTCGGGAGTGCCTTCGCATAATTTGATTACTTAAATTACTGTACTCGATCATTTATTTTGTTTTTCTTACCGAAGATATGTATAAATGTGAAAATGATACAGTGCAGTCTGATTATGGAGCATATGTTCTGATTTCAATATCTACAGAATGTACTATAAAAGCGTGATTTAATTTTAAGTTGAGTTATTTTTAACAAATTTTTAACCGATATGTAGTACTAAACCTTAAGTAAAACGTGGCCTTATTTTATTTTAAGATCACATATCTTTTACCACGTTAATCTTTAATGTCATCTGCATACAACAAACGCCAATTATGGTAATACGAGGCGAAAATACGACGTTTTACGTATCACAGAACATGGCCATAGTTAACGTTTGCTGTACCTCAAGTTATTTATTAGGTGATATATAATTTCCAACATCAAATACATCATCATAAGATACAAATAAATTTGTAATCAAAATTAATGGTTTGCTTATACCTTGGTATATATACCAAGAATTATTTTCGAAATCTCAACGTGTTCTTAAACGAATATATCTCAAGATATTAAAACTAATCCCTACTCAGGAAGTGAAAGGGTCCTTTGATAACTATCTTTGGCAATTTTCCTAAGTTGATCGCCAAGACCCTTGCCTGCTTCAGCTACCATTTTATAAAAGACACCATTAGGATTCTGAAGTAGTAGATGTGGATGATCGAATTCTACCATAGTGCCCGATGCCATTACGAGTACTTTATCCGAGTCCATAATAGTGTTCAGTCTATGAGCAACTGTAAGTACCGTACAATCTGCAAACTTTTTTCTTATAGTTTTCTGGATTAAAGCATCAGTCCTGAAAAGAAAATATGCATTAATAAGTTATGTAGTACAATCGGAAACCCTTGCCAAGTCGATCAGGCGTGTGCGATATGTAAAATATTTAACAGGGCGAACTGTTAAATATTTGTGCGAGATCTAAAACATTTAACAGACTAGAAGTAAGAAACTACTCATCTGTCGAGACATCGTAGACATTTTTGATGTGGAGCCTAACCAGCAACTGAAAAATGGGACCAAACGGTCTATTTTTCAGTTAAATTATTTTATTTTTTTTTATTTTTCAAATATTTTTTATAATAAAAGCTCTCCAAAGGATCCTGTGTTTTATGAGATGGAATCGTTAGAAAAAATAGCTAAAACATGAAATATGAAGGTTATTTCTCACTATTTTCCAATCAAAATATCACTAACTCAAAAATGAATAGTGTTAATGAATAGAAAACTTTTGGCCATCCTGTTTTTTCTTCTTTTTTGTATTGTCTGACTGACTGTCTTAGCCAACGAACTGTACTTGGTGTCAACTCATTAAGTTGAGTTTTCAATTTTATTTAATAATAATATGAATATGTGCAACACTTTAGCATGTTTACACTCATAGAAGTTTTGTTTGAGTTGCTAGGTTCGGGATGTGTTTTAAGTGCTGGCATCTTACTAGCTACCTTCTAATACTGGCACTGTTAGATAGCCAGAAAATGCTACTGTTCTTCCAACATTCAGTTCTATTTACCCTAAACAATAACTGTTCCTACTTGTCCAGTTTTCGCTCTTACGTGGGGGTTGTGTAGCATTTTGTTTTCAACTTTTAAATCCAAAACTTGAAAATAGTTCATTTCTTTTTTCTTTTAAAAATATTAGACTAAACAACTTCAAGAAACTTTTAATAATTGTTGAGCGTTGCTTCCAAAAGGAAATATTGCCTGCCTTTCTCTTCAATGCGTCTTTTCGCATTGTCGCCTATAAAGATTTCAAAACAAATACTGAGTTTTTAAATAGGCTATCTACGCAGAGTAAATAAAAATCCACTTACTTTCTCAACGATTCATTTAACCACGTATCATAAAGGTTGTGTGTTTCCGTGTTTGCTAATTATCATTTGATAATTAAGTCGAAAATAGTTAAGTGACAAAAACTGGTAAGATAATCCAAATTACTTTTGAATTGTTTATAGTCCGGGCGCTTGGTTAGAAATAATGAAGGGCACCTAGTGACTGCCAGGATTGTTGGTTCTCGTTAAAATGATCCAATAAAATGCGGGTCCGCAAACACCTAACGAGGTACTGTTAATACAACAAAATAGTGCACTCTTTCAGGAAAATTATGCAAGGTCCCAGAATGAACAGATGCTGTACACGGCATGGAAACAGACGGAAATGGAAAAGATTTACGCTAAGGATAGGATAAATCAGCTCCAACTCCAGTTAGATACCTTACAAAAATTAAATGAAAGCTTGCAATTAAAATTTGCAGATCTAGAGAAAAACTTGTCCAAAGAGAAAGAACCTAAGAATGAGGAGTTTCATACTGACGATGAGGAATTAGCTAAGGAGACAGAGTGGATACGTGTCAAAAACTTTAAAAAACGTAAAATGGATACATCATTGACCCCACCACAAAAAGAGTCATATATCCAACAAAGAGAAGAAAAAACCAGAAAAACACAAATCCCACCTCCAATAATTGTGGAGAGTATTGCCGAATTTAGCCAATTTCATGAATTAGTCAGACTACATACTGCTAAATTCCAGATAAAAGTACTTGGAGACAAGAGCGCTAAAATTAATGTCGATAGTGAAGAAGACTTCAGAAAATTAACGAAAAAGTTGACTGAAGTAAATTATCCATGGCATACGTATGAAAATAAGCAAAGCCGACCCATTAAAGTTATGGTCAATAAGTTACATCATTCAGCCAGTAAGGATTCGATCATGAACGATTTAAGTAATAAAGGATTCAAGATAATAGATGTCATACCAAAATTAAAATACAAAACAAAGCAACCACTAAATATGTTTATGCTGGTATTCAGAAATGACGAAAATATCAATAGAATCTATGAGATCTCAGATATCATGAACGTAAAAGTACAAATACTTCCGCTCAGAAAATCAAAATTGGTACCTCAATGTAAGAGATGTCAGGCATATGGACACACACAAGGTTACTGTTCGAAAGAACCGAGATGTGTCCGCTGCACAGGAAAACACCTAACAGCCAAATGTGAGAAACCCAAGGACGCAAAACCTAAATGTGTCCACTGTGGAGAAGGGCATCCGGCTAACTATAGAGGATGTATCGTGGCAAAGGAAATACAAAAAATAAAAGATAAACATAACAAGAAACAGACCTTACCCAGACAACCTCAAAAAATGCATCCAAAACCTGTAGAAAATCCAAAACAAGAAGAAAACAAAACGGTAGCAGCTGGTAAAAGTAACGAAGAAAACTATAGTAGTCAAAAAGATCTGAAAATAGAACAAACACTACAAAAAATATTAGAGAGATTAACTAACCTAGACGAGCGTATAACCAGAATAGAATATAGCACCAAAGGAGCTATACCTAAAAGACTTGGTAATGGCGGGTAATTTACGAATACTAGAATGGGATGCAAATGGGATCTTGAAACATCAGCAAGAACTACAAGCGATACTAGATATAGAAAAAATAGACATATGCCTCATTTCTGAAACCCATTTTACGAATGAGTCATGTATTAGATTTAGGGGTTACAAAACTTATCATACTATTCACCCTGATAATGCAGCCAAAGGAGGTAGTGCAGTAATAATCAAGGAAAATATTATGCACTATCAGGAAATTGGGTACAGAACAAAAGAATTTCAGGCCACATCAGTAAAAATTAAATGTAAAAATTATGAGGTAATCGTCACAGCAGTTTACAGTCCGCCAAGACATACCATCAAGAAAAATCAATACGTAGATTTCCTGACCAGTCAAGGACATAGATTTATCCTTGGAGGAGACTTCAATGCAAAACATACGCATTGGGGGTCACGACTGACTACAACCAAAGGGAAAGAACTTTTAGAAGCGATGAAATACATAAAATGCGACGCAGTATCAACGGGAAAACTAACATACTTGCCTACTGACACAAATAAAATTCCAGACCTTATCGACTTCTTTGTAGTTAGAAATATTTCTACAAATTACATAGAGATAGAAGAGTCATTGGATATGACCTCGGACCATTCTCCAATTATTCTCACACTCAGTGACACTGTTATCAAAAAAGAAAGCCCCCCTAGACTTGTTAACAAAAATACTGATTGGAAAAGTTTCCAGATAGACCTTGAAGAGAAGATTAACCTCTCAGTGCCATTAAGAACCATTGATCAACTAGAAGCAGAAGTAGAATTACTCGATAAAAATATACAACAAGCTGCTTGGAACAACAGCACGAATAGTGTCGAAAGAATAAAAGGTAATAACTACCCGAAATAAATCAGAGAAATGATAACCGAAAAAAGAAAACTAAGACGCAAGTGGCATCAGTCTAGAGCACCAGTTGATAAAACTAGATTAAATAATGCCACACAAAAATTAAAAAGAGAAATACAAAAAATTAAAAACGAATCGGTTAACATTTACCTAAGTGAACTATCAAATGATAGCGCTACTGATTACTCTTTGTGGAAGGCTACTAAACGATTAAAAAGGCCAATCTTACAGTATCCACCAATTAGAAATACTAATAGTAGCTGGGCAAGAAGCAATATACAAAAGGCCAACAGGTTTGCTGACCACCTAGAAAATACTTTTCAACCAAATGAAGAACAAGAAAGAATAAACTGGGAGCTCCCTGATCAAGACGAAATGGAGATTAGCCTTGTAACTCCAAAAGAAGTATATTTGGAAATAAAAGAAAACATAAATCCAAAGAAAGCTCCTGGATTTGATCTAATTACTGGGGAAGTGTTAAAGCAACTTCCAAGGAAAGCTATTATAAAATTAACACATCTTATAAACGCTTCCTTTAGGTTGAGGTACGTACCAAAGATATGGAAGGTGGCAGAAATTATAATGACACTAAAACCAGGAAAACCTCCACAAGAAGCTTCTTCATATAGGCCTATTTCACTGTTACCTGTCATGTCTAAATTATACGAAAAATTACTCTTGAAGAGACTAAAACCGATTATAGAGGAAAAAAATTTAATTCCTAATTATCAGTTTGGGTTTAGAGCAAGCCACTCAACGATAGATCAGGTGCATAGAATAACAGATATCATAGAAAAAGCTCTAGAAGAAGGAAAAGTTTGTTCCGCAATTTTCCTCGATGTAGCGCAGGCTTTTGACAAGGTGTGGCATGATGGACTATATCATAAAATGAGATGCTACTTACCAAAACAATATTCTGAACTACTAGAATCATATATATCAGACAGATACTTTCGAGTTAAATATGAGGAAGCATATTCAGAATTAAGAGAAGTTAAAGCTGGAGTTCCACAAGGAAGTGTCCTGGGGCCAGTGCTATACCTGCTCTATACCAGCGATATTCCATCATTAGAACCTAACACAATTGCGACATTTGCAGACGACACATGCATACTAGCAGTCGGACAAAACCACGAGGATGCAGCTACCATGTTACAGAACTCTGTTGAACAAATTAACATCTGGACCAACCGATGGCGTATCAAATTGAATGAAACAAAATCTGTTCATGTCAATTTTACTAACAAAAGAGAACAACATATCCCAGTACATATAAATAGAAACCAAATACCTTATGCAAATACGGCAAAATATTTGGGTATGACGTTAGATTCCAATGTTACACATTGGAATCTAACGGCACATGTTAAGAAAAAAAAGCAGGAATTAGAAATTAAGTTCAGAAAGATGTACTGGTTGATGGGAAAAAAATCCACTCTGTCTATTTACAAGAAATTGCTTTTATATAAGCAAGTCCTTAAGCCGATATGGACATACGGAATACAGCTATGGGGCTGTACAAAAGAAAGCAACATCCAACATATACAGCGATATCAGAATAAAGTATTAAGGAACATCGTTAACGCTCCATGGTACTTTAGAAACTGTGATCTTCATCGAGACCTCCAGATGGATACAGTTATCCAGACAATAAGTAAGTTTGCCGAGAGTCATGAACAAAGGCTCTCCAACCACGTGAACGTCGAGGCCATCAAACTCCTAGACAACGCCAACCAGATAAGAAGACTAAAGAGAACGAAGCCGTTTGATTTAGTGCTATAAGTGAGTGAAAGTGAAAAAGCAGAGTAAAGTGCGGCTAAAGTGTACACGTTAGCTAGTAGTACTATAATGTATTAGAGCCTAAGGAATATTGCTGAATATAACCTTAGATAAGTTCCTTGTAATATTTATATATTTTATTTATATATTTATATATACATTGGATTCAGATGGCGCAAAATCGGAGTAAGTGGAAGAGCATGCGAGAGGCCTATGTTCAGCAGTGGACGTTAGAGGCTAGTTGATGAATATTTATATATAGAACTAACTTGCTTATTGATCATAGTGAATGATCAGATAGCAATAGTCATAAGATTCCTGTTGGAGTTTTATTAAAAAAAAAAAAAAAAAAAAAAAAAAACTTTCTCAACGAAGTTGTAACGATGTTCTCATCGTTTAACAGTTTGAACCGTGGGAGTATCAAGGTTGACGCATCCACCTCTTCAGCGAGATGGTGAGTGGGATTCGGCGCGGCTATTTAAGGCATGTGAGTAGCGGCATTAGTCAGTCTTGCAGCTAGCGCTCTAGGCTCCTCGATTCGCCAGTGTACTGGACTGGCGAGCCAACCCGGACGGAGATATATCCGCATTGAGGATCATACTCTGTCCTTAACTAAGCAGAAACGTGTTTGTTTGTCTTTGTGTATTGTATTGTTATGTCCAGATTTACATGTATGACATTCTGCTCATGTCGGATAGGCCACAACTGACGAAATGCCCCTGAGGATGATCTAGTGATCGAAAGTGCTTGGGCAAGATTTAATTAATTACTGTGTTCGATATTTGCCTTGTATACCATCAAAGTTAAATCTTATTTGTCAAGTATAATTGGTGGATATTATTTACTCGAGCCTCTTTCAATTCATTTCAATTCAAGTACTCCGCTGTGGAGTTAAATTTCTATCGAAGATACACAACAACTACGGTAACCTGCAAACCCTACTAACGCCAAGACTGCATCTCTTTTTATACTGATAAAATCTATAGTGAAGTATCTGTAAGTAGAGAAACATTTTTTTATACTCGGGTAAACAGAATCCAACAAGTGATAATTACTTCTATAAAAAATATCCAACAGATTAAGGAACAGTTGTAAATATTCACAAAATCGAGGCAGAAAACTACAGTAAAGTATGATTTGCGTACTACTACATAAAACAACACGAAACTTAAGGTACTTCAGCGGTACTTATCCTCAGCTCAAAGAAGGAAGATCAGGAATATGTGTAAGGGGTGTGCTGACACTACCAAGACAATTATTCTACGAAACCTTGCCATTTTCCTGGAGGGAAAACTGATACATAGTCTGTTCAGTGGACTTAGTTTATCAGAAGTCTTCTCGACGAGAAACTTATAAATAACGAGGAGCAGAGCTGTGACTTCCTCCCCATAATGTTAAAACTCTGCAAGCCATGTTCATCACAAATATTTATAATCTGCATTTTTTAATAAAACTAGTGAGTGAATCGAGTAGATGAGTCGGATGGTAGGAGAGGAGCTCTCGTTCATTCATTGATCCTTACCGTAAGGCGCGTTAAAGCGCTAGAAAACCAAATCATACATAGTTTATTCGTCTTCCGGGTTTGGACCGTGTCATTTGTGAGTGACCCAAAAGTGGATTCATCTCGACGTTTCGCTACAATTGTATGTAGCTTCTTCAGGAGAACAAAGAAAAAGAAGACAGGAAGATGGGTAGTTAGCAACGGTAACTCAGTTACTCAACGCAACCAGAGGCGAATACTAACTACCAAGATGGGCATTTGGTCACAGTAACTCAACTACTCAACGCAGCCAGAGGTGAAACAGCTCAGAACACTAGTGTTGGACTAGCTGTTGGACGTGAGTCCCTGTCCTGGCATTTGGTTTTCACCTCTGGCTGCGTTGAGTAGTTGAGTTACTGTGACCAAATGCCCATCTTGGTAGTTAGTATTCGCCTCTGGTTGCGTTGAGTAACTGAGTTACCGTTGCTAACTACCCATCTTCCTGTCTTCTTTTTCTTTTTCTTTTTCTTTGTTCTCCTGAAGAAGCTACATACAATTGTAGCAAAACGTCGAGATGAACCCACTTTTGGGTCACTCACAAATGACACGGTCCAAACCCGGAAGACGAATAAACTATAATTTTGACTCTGGCCGTGGAAGCCTACGATTTCATTAAATCATACATACATCAATTATGTGAGATTTAGGACATATTATATGACTTTTCTTCGACCTGGAAGGTTCTTCCATTTAAAAATTTTAAACTCGAATTCACTGTTATTTGAGATGGCTTTTATTCAGCGGCTTTCACACAATTTGTAAAACATTTGTGAATAAAACTCAAACAGCATATTTCTAGTAAAATCTACAGCTGGATTAAAACTGCTTCGATTTTTTATAAAAAAAAACCCACCTCTTGAATTTCGTATGATTATGTGTAAAGAAAAGATTTTTTTCTATTTTGGTTTTTCTATTAAGAGAAATATTCATCTATTTTTTGTGTAAGAATTTAATCATAATTTATACTATTCCATAATAACTTTATATTCTGCTCTTTCCCTGTAAGTTCAATTCTATCATCGTATGACTGTAGTACAAAAATTATCCACAGTTTTCTATTGCTATTTTCAAGTTTCTCATTCGTCAACTTTAATAAGTTTTCGATTTTGCTCAAACTAACGTCGCATTAGGTATACTACTCTGAAAGACTATTCTTTAACTGCTATTTGCCATACATGTCGCGCTTTTGATAATGAAGTAATTGATTAAAATAATATAAGATACTTACTGTGGATCCACATTGGCAGTAGCTTCATCCAACACTAAAATTTTGTTATTTCTAATAATAGCTCTGGCCAAACAGATCAACTGCCTTTGACCAACGCTGTAATTGGAACCTCTGTCCATCACTTTATTTTCTAATCTATTTATTATATTGGCAGGATCCTTTAGTTCAACATCATCGATTGCTTTGTATAAAAGTTCATCAGGGTATTCTTCGAAAGGATCCAAATTATATCTTAAGGTTCCTGAAAATAGGACAGGATCTTGGGGAATGATCGATATTTTTGAACGGAGATCTTCCAAAAGTAAGTCTTTTGTGTCTATTCCGTCTATGTTGATTTCCCCATCGATTTTAGCTAGTCTAAATAGGGCTGCTATCAGAGACGATTTACCTGCACCTGTTCTGCCCACTATTCCAACCTAAAAACAAAACTAATACATATTAGAATCCGACATATTATGATTGGTATATACAAAGAAATGTAGATAGTATAATATACTTTAAAAAGTTTTGTTTCGTAAGATAAAAAGGGAATTTGTGATTACACATATGAAAACTTTAGCAAAATGATGAAAGAATAATAAAAAAGAAGAATCTTACAACAAGTGATTAAGGTAATTAATAAAATGAAATGAACAATAATCGCTACATCATTATTACTGAAAACATAATAAACATACCTTCTCATTAGACTTAATGGACAAATTTAGATTATTTAGTGTCAATGGTCCATCTTCTATATATTTCAATCCCATATTTCTAAATGAAACATTTCCCTTTTCTGGCCATTTCGGCAATGGTTTTTTAGGAACCACTGGTTGTATTTCGGCAGGTAGGGACTTGTATTCCAATACTCTTTCTACACTCATTAGCTGGTTAGTAATCTCTGCAGACTGGCGAATGCCCCATTGAACCATACCTGTCAGTGCTGTTGCTTGTGTTATAGCAAGACCAACTTCACCACCTTTCAGTGCTAACCCTGAAAAATATAAATTTATTCTGAGTAAAAATTATATGGAAATTACGTCGTCTATATACATAGAAACCAAATAATTTCTTTATGATAAAGTGGACATTTCAGAATAAGTACAAAACATACTCTAGCACTGACCTAAACTCGAACCACCATCTATGTGAAATAAAAGAGTAAAATGTAGTGGCATGTCTCACAAAACAGAAAAACCAAAAAGGTATATCGATGGAAGGCAACTGTATATACGTATTTCTGACTATTGGTCAATCAATTAAAAACAAACCTACATTACAAACAAATAAAAATAACGACTAAACAACAGTGAATAACTCAAGAAAGATGGTTGAGCATCATCGAAAATCATTCATGAAAATGAAGATGGTGATTTAATATCTACAAAAAAAAACTTAATAAAAGTAATACCCGAAGGTTAAAAGGGAAAAGCGATTTAGAGGTTCAAACTACCATACTTGCTGTCAATATTAATACAATAGTGGTAGTGTAGTAATCAGTTTCACAAGGACACGGAATCTAAATAATATTTACATGCCCGCTGTGCTTGAAGAAACTGTGAAAGAGTAGCCTTGAGGTAAAATACCTAGGAGTAATACTAGATAAGTGGCTTGTGTGGAAGGAGTATCTGGAAAGAATAACTATCAAAGCAAAGCTTTTTCTTTGAACATGTTGAAGGATATGTGGGAAAACATGGGGTATGAAACCAAGACAGATGTACTGGCTATATATGAGTCAGTCAATCATATTGAACCTAACCTATCCTCAAACTGTCACATCTTTGGAGACCTGGAACAAAGTTGTGAACAGTGGTAAAATTATATACGTGATTTGATCATGATTAAGGTCGTGAACAGACCATTTCCGTGGATGGTACAAGAGAAAGAACTTTTATATGAAAATGTGGTTTTACTGAAGCAACATAACCTAAGTATTAAGCGATAAAGCTCAATATAAGTTATATATTATTTAGTTGTATAAAGTGCGTATATCCTTACCTTCTCCAAAATTAAGTAAATAAAATGTAATAATGGCTATGAATATGAAACATATAATGTCCAAGTAGAATCCAAACGCCGAACTTGCAGCAATATACATAAACCAGGCACTGGTATGGGAATCTTGATGCTTATCGAATTCGTTCATTAGAATGGGTTGAGCACCAAATGATCTGATCGTTGTTAATCCCTGGAGAGTAGCATTTAAGTGGGTAAATACAGGACTTCTCACTAAAAAGAAAATTGAAATTAAAAAATATACAGTATCTTACAATATATGAGGAGGTTTTAAGCAATACCGAATAAATTCACTTTTTACGAAAATTTCGTTAGTGGCCAATATCGGTTCATTTTGCTAAATTACACTATGTAGAAATATATATAAGTGCAAAAACGAATAATCATCATCCAGCCTCAAGAGTCCACTGCTGAACATAGGCCTCTTCCTCGTGTTTCCAACCCCGTCTATCTTGCCAGCTCTTATCCAGTTTTTATTGAGTCTTCTCAAATCGCCAGTCCATCTTGTAGGTGGTCGACCGACGCTTCTCTTGTCTTCCCTTGGCCTTCATTCCAATAACCTCTTTGTCCATCGCCCATCTGTCATTCTGGTTATGTATCCTGCCCATCTCCATTTTAGTCTGGCTATCTTCTCGATGATGTCAGTCACTCCTGTTCTTCTCCTGATGTCTTCGATGGTTATTCTGTCTCGCAGAGTTATTCCTAACAAGGACCGCTCCATTCTTCTCTGCGTGACTCTCAGTTTGGTAGCTGCGGCTTTTGTTAAGGTAAGTGTTTCTGCTCCGTACGTCAAGACTGGGAGGACGCACTGATCAAATACCTTTCTCTTTAGGCATGTGGGCAGCTCACTTTTAAAAGTTGCTCTCAGATTTCCAATGCTGCCCACCCAAGGCCGGTTCTTCTCTGCAGTTCATGAGTCTGGTTATCCCTGCCAATCATAATTTTATGTCCCAGGTATTTATATCTATCTACGAGTTCTATTTCTTTCCCACCAATACTGATGTTCTCGTTGGGTACCAAATTGGTCGTGATTTTTGTTTTCGAGATATTTATATTTAAACTTACATTTTCTGTAGCCACAACGAGTTCCTGTACCATCTCTCTTGCCATACCTAGATCTTCAGCTATTATAAGTATATCATCGGCGAAACGTAAGTTCTTTAGATATTCTCCATCTATTTTTATTTCCTTTGTCATCCAATCCAAATTCTTAAAAGCATGTTCTAGCACCGTATTAAAAAGTTTAGGTGACATTGGGTCTCCTTGTCTAACCCCCCGTTCTATTTTTATTCTGTCAGGTTACATACTGTTAGTATGTAACCTGACAGTGGTTGTTGCCTGCAGGTATATTTTGTATAATAATTTAGTATATCTATAATCTAGCCTGCATTCTTTAAGTGCCTGTAATATTTTTCTTAGCTCAACTGTGTCAAAGGCTTTGTGAAAATCAATAAATATTAGAACTAGAGGTTTATCGTATTTCACTGCTTTCTCTATTAGGGTTTTTATACTTTGTAGATAGTCATTTGTTCCGTAACTTTTTCGGAATCCTGCCTGTTCCCTTGGTTGATAAGTCTCTAATTTTCTTTCCATTCTCTTAACTAGTATTCGCGTAAACAACTTATATGTATGGTTGAGGAGGCTAATCGGTCTGTAATTCTCTAAATTTGCTTTGTCTCCTGCTTTGTGTAATAGAATCATAGTAACGTTGTTCTAGTCTGTTGGAATATTGGCGTTGTGAAGGCAGATATTGAAAAGTTGTTTAATTTTTTCAAGTAATACATCCCCTCCAATTTTTAGTGCTTCTGATACTATTCCATCTTCACCCGGGGTTCGATTATTTTTCATTTTCTTCAGGGCTTCTTTGATTTCTGATTTTGTTATATCGGGCATTAAATCTGATCCTTGGTTTAATACCCCAGAAAAAATCCTACTGAATTTTAATGGTGATATTAATGTTTTCGATTTAAATTATCGATTTGAAGCCCAATCCGAAATTAGGGCAATTTCGGATTATAACTTTTAAACAGAGAGACTATAACAGTCACTATAAACACAGATAATAAGATAATAAAGGATATTAGCTCTGATCACAAAACAAGAATAAAAATAGGAACCCTAAAGACCCTCGTTATTGTTAGGGAGGCAGTGAGATGCAAAATTTTAATAAACGAAGAACTAATAGAACAAGTATCGAAATTCAACTATTTGGGAATGCAAATATCGTATTATGGAAACATCTCAAAAGAAACCCGCATACAAGCTAATAAAGCATTGGACGAGTCAAGATGTACGAGAAATAAGAACATGAGGATACAAGGAAAACACGCATATATAAGACTTGAACACGACCGATAGTAACCTAGCTATAGAAACAAGAGCAGTAACTACAATTACAAAGAAAATCTTAAGAAAACAGAGATGAAAACACTCAGGGCGATAGCAGGTAATACTTTAAGAGCATAGGCGCAAAATCTCGGGTTAATGCTTTTTAAATGCATTCATTTGTTTCGAATCCTGAGAAAACTAATAAATATTTTTGAAAAATTTAAACGCAGAATGAAAGAATACATTATTACCGAGGGCCGAAAGTCCCTGAAAACTTCTATAATGTTTATTTTATTAAGTTACAGGCGTGGAAAAAAGAGAATATTTAGTGTGATTTTTAATTTCAAATATCTTATTCAAAAAAACTTTTTGTTTATTCCAAGGAACTTTCGGCCCTCGGTAATAATGTAATCTTTCATTCTGCGTTTAAATTTTTCAAAAATATTTGTTAGTTTTCTCAGGATTAAAAAAAAATGAATGCATTTAAAAAGCATTGGCCCGAAATTTTGCGCCTACGCTCTTAAGAGATAGAATCTCTAATACAAAAATCGGAGACATCTGTAAATTACATTATATCGTCAGATGGGGGCGCCAAGGAAGACGAGAATGTAACCAACACATTAACCGAATGGAAAGAGAGAGACTGGCCCGAATAGTAAGGGATGGAAAATCAGAAGGTAAAAGATAGTTGACAGTCAACATCTCAAATACTGCTAAATCAGACCGAAAACAACAGGCTTTAAGGCCCAATATACTCTTTAGAGGAGGAAGAAGAAGACTCTTTAAATCCTAGCAATGGAACCAACGCTAGCCGGAGCACACGTTACAATTGGGGCCTAATGCTCAATTGGTATTGAGCTTGTTACCAACTACATTCCTCTATATATGAAGGAGATTTTCTTGGAATTCTACACTTTTTCTTTTGATGAAATTTCTTATATTGTATTGGCATCTGCAATGGTCGTCGTCTATAGTAGTCTAATATTGTTCGAGAATTCTAAGCACCTCCCATTCTTCGCTTTATCCGATTACTACCAAAATTCCGAAGTGCCCTAGATGAGTACCTTACTTCTTTATTCTGAAAACTAATGCAGAAGATTGGTCAATAACCTACCATGCAAGCGTGTGCGGTTTGCGGGTGGTGGAGGGTGTATTTGATTACTTCGACGGTAGGTCAAAGTCTGGGAACTTCCGTAGGCTTAGAAGCACTCTGATTCGTCTCTTTTATCTATTTCTCAAGGTTACTCCAATAATTGATCGTTTCATTTTACATTGTGTCCGCAATTTTCTGGATGATCTTCTATGATGATATGCGGTAATTAGGGTTTCTGCGCTCCATTAGAGAGAGACAGACGGAGAGAGAGAGAGAGAGAGAGAGAGAGAGAGAGAGCGAATTAAAAAATACCAAATTGTAAATATCTCTTTACTTACTTATTCCTTCCAGTCTTTTGATATTTTTCGATGATTTCAGGTACACATGTCTCATTGATAAGAAGAAAATACCCATGAAGAAAACTAATATGAGGAAATATGGGTTTACTATTGCAACTAATATCAGCGATCCAACCATCATTAGAATCATCTGCAAATATAAATAAAAAGTAAGTACCACATTATTTATTACCTGATAAAATAAAGTAATGCATATCATAGCGTGAATTTTTGCAAATTTCGATTTTTTAATTTTGTGTAAAATGTTTGTATAAAATGAAGATATACCTGCGAAGCATCCAATATAGCTTTAGGCAACCATTCATCTATAGCTCCTATATCTTTCGAGAACCTATTTAAAATTCTTCCACTGGGATTCGTATCGAAAAATCTCATAGTAGCTGCTATGACACTATTGAACATGACATCATGTAATTTTTGAGAACTCCACATGGCTAGCTTGTAAAATAGCATCGATCTAGCGAATGCTACCACGAACAGAGTGATTAATCCTCCAGCGTATATGTAAATACATGTTTCCGTTGACCATTCTACGGTAGATCTAATACTGACTTCTTCTGTTTTGTTTGCACTCGTTCTATATAATGTTTGGTTTCTAAATTCTTCTATATTTACCTATAACATATGCATGAAGTTAAAAATATTTAAACACTGAATTACAGACACAATAAAAAATCCATAAAAAGTATTAATACATCAAGGGGACAGTGTCATGCGAAACTTTCAAAAAATCAATTTTATTTTTTTTATATAAATCGCTTCCATTTACATTCAAAAACTCCCTCCTAAAATTTTAAAAAGAAATTCCCACTAGAATGTAAGTTATAGTTATTTTATTAAAGGCAGCTTTACATCTAGGCTATGCAAGTCTCATGCTATGCAAGTCCGTCTTGCATGGCACATCTCTTGCCTAGCTTGACCTTTTTACATCAGAGATATTTCTGTGCAATTTTAGATCCTACTTTCATTGTTGCCAACAGAGAAAATATTTATCAATTTACGGTTATTTTATTTTAAATAAAAAATATAATTAAGTACTAAAATAAATAATATAATAAATAAATATACACTATTTATGGTTATTAAAAGGGTGAAGGATGTCAACCAAAGAAAAGAAAACATTGTTATTGTTGAATATTGCTGTTGTAGCAACAATCATCCATAGTCAACGACTCACCCAGTCATTTTTACATTAACTTAGGCATAGTATATCTATTTATCACCACTTAATAAACTTAATTTAAATCAAAACACAGCAATACACATGTGGGTTAAAGATAGAGATAAGGTTATGTTTTATTCTGTAATCTATTATAAATTGTTATGTTGGCAACATGAATTTTAACGATAAATTGCAAGAAAATTGCATGAAAAATAGAACATGTTCTAATTTTTCGTCTAGCACAGGAATTGCATGGAAATAGCCCGTGGGCATGCGCAGTTCCATGATCTGTCTTGCATGGCTCTTGCCTAGCATGAAAATACCATAATGTAAAACTGTCTTTACGTCATCTACGCACGTATGAAAACCGGTTTCTCTCCGCGCGGCGAGCGCGAGGCTCCAGCTGTTCTTGCTTTTGTATATATGTTGTATATACGTTGGGTATGTATTAGTGATTCATTTTTATATAGTATGTATATCAGTATAACGTTTGGCAGTTACTATACACATTTGGAATTTTAAATCCAGAACATAGGATTTTTACAAATACTAAGATTCTCTGCGTTGCAATTAACCAGTGTAAATTTCTTTATAACTTCGAGATGTTTTATAACTAATTTATTTGTTCCACTGGATTACTTCTCCTCAGCGGTTTGTAGTAGCGTATATGGCACGCCGACAGTGTTGCTCCGTCTACCGATTTTTCCTGAAAGTCCGGTTTTGTGCAGATACTAAATAATGTTTTATTAACATCAATTTTGTTTGTGTTCATTAGGTATTATTTGAGTTATAAAATTTATACTTAAATACTTTTATTAATCCAAATATTGTTATACTTTCAAATTAAAAAGATTGTAATATAATTATTTTATTTCTAAAATTTCTTTTTATTTTTAATTTTAGAAATCAACTTTTTTTTCAAGCCGTGTTGGCAATAAAACATAACCATTTTTTTAGTTATAAAATATTTTCATATCTACATTTATAAATAAGTACGTTTTCGTTGAATTGACATGCGATCTAGGTATGTTCTGTTTTTACACTTACACTGGAAGCATCGCGGCGTGAATTAATAGTGAGACTCCAGTCAAACAAATGAATTAATTATAAAACATCGCGACGTTGTATTGAAATTTACAGCTTTACAAAGCCATTTACAACAACTGTTGGATAAAGACGGTCCTCAATATTCACCAGGAATGGCCGATTAAACGTGAGTATAAAGTTATCAGCCTTTTATTCACGAAAATTATGTAAAAAAAACTTTAAATGCTTTTTTCTCAAAAGTAACATTTTCAAACTGGTCAGACACTTTTCTCCGAACCTTCTTAACGGATTTTAAAAAACCAAAAATTTTTCGAATGTATATACAAAATACTAGATGATAAACCTTTAAACTATTTAAAAACCACCCCCCTTTTTGTTATATATGGGGAAATCCACCGAAAAATATAGTGATTTATCGACTTTTTTGAAAAAATTCGTATAAACTCTTTAAAATAATATAATTTGCATATTTTAAAGGTTTATCATCTAGTTTTTAGTCTCACAAATACAACTTATTTTGAATTTTTGGAATATCTGTTATAGGTGACCCACAAAGTGTCTTACCACCAAAAACGCACTTTTTACTACACGCCATCTACAGGACACCAATGAAGTTAAAATCGCTATTAAAAATTTTTATTATGTTCTTCAAGACCTACTTAATCATCTCCAAAAGGAATTACGTTAATAAATATTATAGTTTTTTTTCTGCTTTAATTTTAAAATACGTCTTTTTTTTTTAATCGCATGAGACTGTCCCCAAGAACTTCTATGTTTAACATTTTTGTTATTGTTAACAAATACTTACCCAAACGCTGACAAAATAGTCTACACCACTGGCCGCCACTTGCGAAAGAATATACAAGAGAAGAACGAATGCCACGAAGAATATATTGCCTCCGTGAATTAAATAGCTCCAGAACAGTGATTCTTTTACTTTACCCTTCGAGGAATCTTCCTGCAAATCTTTCAGTTTTATTTCTGGCTCTTCATCATCATCATCTCCAGCAGCTTCTTGTAAAATAGCATCGGTGAGACTAAGCTCACTAGCGGCGCTGACTAACGACGTTCGTGACCTCTATAAGAAGGAAAACGAATCATAAATAAGTATTGACAAATTAAATAATTTTTAATCTTTCTTAATTTAATATAAGAAATAATTGTCTTCATTGTAAAAAATATCTTGTTTACTTTCTTATAACAACAAATTATGTATCTTGGTTTGAAGAATTTCATTATCTTTTTCCATTATAAAGCACAATTATTTTTTAAAATAAAATAAAGATGTATTTACCCTAATTGATATTTTCCTACTAATTTTAGCAACGTCTGTCTGTTTCTGTTTTTCTTCATCCGTAAGTTCAACTTCGGAAGTCAGCAATTTGGCATATAAATTATCACTAACCGAAAGCTCTTCAAAACTGCCTTCATTTTCTATAGTTCCCTAAAAATAAAATAAGATACTTTAATCACATCTCACAACAAAAGAACATCATGAAGAAAAGAGTATCTTTAAACTTAACCATTTCCTTCATGGTTATATGGTGTTGTTCTACTTGAAATATTCCTTTAGAGTGTAGATAATTAATAAATTCTTGTGAAGTAAAGCTAGTTCTCCTTGTCAGATCTTATATATGCCAGCATTCTATATACAAAAAATAGTGATTTAATCTGTGATTGGTTTGAATTGCTTTCCTACCAGATAATGTCTGCATTTTTTTAATACTTCAATGCATTTGCATTTTTTCAATTGCATGTTTTCATTCAGAATCTGTGAGAGTATGTGTGAAAAAAGGCAATTGGTTTTCCCCATTGATTGCTTCGCTTATGTAATTATAGACTAAATTTATTAAAAGCATGTACTTATCTTTGTCTTCTAGGGATTTTTCTTTAGATTCATTGCTTTCTAAAAAAATCTTGAATGTTATATACCAATGTTTGAATTCTTTGCGAATTATGAGAATAAAATTGTATTAAAGTGCCTTCTGCAGAATTAGGCTTTTATTCACATAAAACTTGACATACTAAGACAAAACAATTATTTAAATACTGACCAGTTCTTGCCACAACATTAAGAAAACTAAATTATAGCACACTTGGCTTTTATTATTAATATTTCTTGTAACACATATAACATTTCTTGTAACATTTTTATAAATAAAGATTTTATTCTATATTTTATTTTTTAATTTTTTTTAACCACTTTGGCATTTTAATGTAATGTAAAATAAATATAGTCTCAACATAACAAGAAAACCCAAAAATTATACAAAAAATATTTATTATCGTATAGGATAAGGATTTTTCTTGTTATTTTAGGATTATATCGATTTTCTTTTACTTTAAAATGAGTTTACAATCCTAGGTAATATTACTAAACTTTTAAATTTCGCGCCATGTATATATAGTTAGGCGCCCGGTCACTAGGTGATGCGCCAATCATTGTTTTACTCGTCAACACGAAAGTTTCAATGCTAGGCGGTAGTGTGCTATGGATGATACGTCACTAGAGAAAGCAGGAAATACGCTAGCCTGCATTGATCGGGTTAGGATATCATGTTGGAGTTGTTGTACCAAGGACTTCCACACGAAAAGCATTTGGCTGATAGTTGTGGCTCTATCTCTCATCAACGTGCAGGGGCGAAACGGATAGTCTGGAGCATTGGAACGGGTGGAGTGGTTTCTGATTACACAAATCAATAGACCTCGCTCCAATGAATTGTAACACCCAAATGTCATTCTAAGGGGTGTGCAAGTCTCTTGGACTGTGTTAATCAAATTGCCTGGCACAAAAAAGCTGTGATTAAATTTCTTTTGATGAGTGAATAGAAAAATGAGGAGACAATTAGAAAGATTTAAAATTTAAATAAGCATTATTATCAGATATATTGAATAAAAAAATATTTACTTACGTTATTCAATATAACAATATGATCAGCATCTTTTAAGTGATGAACTTGATGGGTAACCAATACTCTAGTTTTATTTCCTAAATACCCATTAATACATTCATCATAAAGGTGCTTCGAAACATGAATATCCACAGCAGACAATGGATCATCTAACAAATATATATCAGCCTCCCGGTACAAAGCCCTCGCCAAATTGATTCTAGCCTTTTGCCCTCCACTCAAAGATGCCCCTCGTTCTCCTACGATGGTGAGGTCTCCGTTGTCAAATTGTTTAAAATCCTTTTCTAGCGCACACGCTTTGACCACTTGATTGTATCGTTGTTTGTCATATTTGTCACCAAAAACTATGTTTTGTCGAATGGTAGCTGCAAATACCCACGCTTCTTGGGAGGCGTAAGAAACAGTGCCGTTGACTTCAATACTGCCGTAAATTACTTCGAGCTCTCCTAAAATCGTCTAAAACAAAAAAAAACATAAATAAACCGATACAACGGATTTTCGACGTCTAACGTCCAACGCTTTGGTTAGGAATGGTCTGGTGAATCAGTGAACCCTATATTATTTTTATTTCTCTAATAATCTTCCCTTCTCTTGAATAGTAAATAAATAATTCTAATAATTTTTATTAAAGAGCATAATATAAGGTAAGTGTAATTGATTCTGTTTCTTTAGATCTATATATTGGTTTAGAAAAAGACTAACCTGTTTGTTACTTTTTCCACATTGCTTACCTACTTTCAAAGAAAAATATAAAAGTCTAAATCTCCTAAGTAAAGAATTTATTTAGGTACAGACCCAACAATCAATATCGAATTTCAAATTTGAATATGTTTAGTTATTCTTTAAATAATAAGCTTTATTTCAAAACATATAATGGACTCCTTAGGTTGTTATTCTGATCCTCTATTTTATTATGTCCAACTTATACCCGTTCAATATTTTTTATTATATGTATATCTACCTACACTCTTTTTCAAAGCTCTTCTTTATATTTAGAACCCCAGTTACTAGATAGGTATAGGCAACCATTATTACAAATCCCGTTCCAACAACTCTATAACCCTTTAACCCTTGGTTAGGCACGTGGTAAATTTGACAATTTGTTAAAATACGACATGTTTTTTAGATTAACAGTCACAATTTTACACTCTTTCGTTCATTTAATGAAGGTGGGATTACTTGCCGGTTTCACTGATAATGGTCTGATAGGACAGAAAACATTTTGAAAATAATTGTAACCCTTTTTGATATTTTCAGTATTTTAATAATTTTACAGATATACCACCAACCAATTAGGCACACTACAAGCTTTGTACTTAATTGCAAGTTTTTTTTAATTATATTATTATGATTAATGTATGAGAAGTACGTAACTACGTAGAGCTATCGAAATAAAAACAAAACGGATGTTTAATCCAGCAAAGAAATATAGAAATTAATACTTTGAGGAAATGGCAAAATAGCAAACGGAATTACCTGTAACAGCGAACTTTTTCCGCTTCCGACTGTTCCAATGATACCAATCAATTTCCCCTCATTAACATCCAAATTTATTTTCTTTAGAGCGTCATCTTTGGTGGCTAAATTCCATTTAACAGTCAAGTCTTTTAAGCTAATAAGGGTTTTGTTGAAGAATATTTTGTCGTTATTGTTTTGGTGTTTTACCACTGGACGAAATTCCTCATTTAACATGAACTCCTGGACTCTTTTGATTGCTACCATTAGTTCTGCAATTTCTGCTATACCTCTAACAAACATGGCAGACATCGTTTGAGAAAGTATATTGAAGTAGGACATGAAAACGAATACCTAGAACAATCAAAATATATAGTGGCTTCTTTTTGCTACTAGTATTAGGTCAGTATAATGGCAAAATATCGAAACAATATTAAAAAATTTCCCTGGTTATTAGGGCCTCGATAGTTATGCAATCTCGGTTGTATCGTCAATTTTTAATAGGTTCGGCCAAAAACTATTCGATAACATTATTAAAAACCCGGTTTTATTGGCTAAAAATAAAGTAAGCCTCGTCTATAGCGATACAATTTTACAGTAGGTTGTCGTTTTTTATTTTATGAAGAATAAAGTGCTTTGTGTCATTCTTCCTTCCAAGAATGTGAGAAAGCCTGATTATCCCTTCTGTGTATAGCTATGTGACCTTGACAGTTCTATGATTTCTCGTTTATCAGTGCCATCCTAATAGTCAAATTTTCTGTCAGTTTAAGAAATTTTCGCTACCGTGAAATTGTGTTCAACTCGTTTTGTTTTAGATTTTAATTTAGTAATTAACTTGCCTTGATTAAGTTGCCAGACGGGTTGGTGAGTGTTCGCAGTATCACAGCCGGTTAAATCAACTTTATTGCCGCCTGTGACTTTGTGGTTAGGAATGGTATTCCTCAGCCACGGGCCACTAATGACACAGCTGCTGACCTTTGTCATGTCCTCAGTTGATCCGCGGATACTTATTTGGCTAAGTCTTAGTCGTACCTGTCCTACATATCTACAGGAACTTCCCTATCAGCCACTGGGATGCGCCGTATCGGGGTTGTGGAATCCGCCGCCCAGTCTGTCTTGCGTAGAGTACTGAGGAACTCATACTAAGTTCAGAGTCCTTTCTTTACGAAAGCTAAGACCGACACGGGACACGCTGAGTTCGGTCACTAAGTCTCAATAAATTCTGAGTAAATATGTAGAAGGGAATATTTTTTGCCGCGAGAAATTTGTTACTATTGGCTACATCGCAAATTATGAAGGGCTTATCTTTGTCTGCGATTTTATTTCAAAAAGAGTTGTGACAGACGTGAATTACTTTGTGGCGCTCTTTAGGCAAAGCCAATTTGTACCAGAGAAGCACTGACCCAACGTTATCTTTATATATGCCATAATTTTATATAATCTTTATATATTGGTGAAGTACCGCAACCGGTTTTAGATATCTACCTACAAACCATTTCAAATGCGATATTTCAACAAGATAACGCAAGACCTCATACTTACTGTGAAACCATGGAGTTCATACAAGAATCTGGTATAGAGACTTTGGAGTAGCCATCACGATCGGCTGATTTGTCCCTCATCGAAAATGTGTTGGGTATGATTTAAATGGGTTTGGACCTAAATCGATTGCCCCGTTCTGTAGCAAATTTTGGAAACGTATGGCATGTAATAAAAAGAATTTGGATGAGTATTTTGCAATATTATATAGACCATTTAATTCGATCAATGCCCCACAAAGTAAGTGAGTGTACAGAAAATCAGAGGAGCCACTCATGATTAATTTTTTGACGAAAATGACGTTGCAAATTTGTTTAGATTGTTATCAAATTATAATGTCTCACGCCTATTAGTGAAAGACTTTGTAATATTAGACTGAAAGGAAAATGCAAAATGCAATATCTCAATTACATCCGCATATGCTCTGACAGAAGATAAAGACAAACATATTAAAGATTACTTCTATGAACAACTCGCAAGATCGCTTGAGAAAATCCCCAAACAAGACATGCAGATAATCTGTTGAGACTTCAACGCAAAAATTGGCAAATAACCTAACCTAAGTCCGACAATAGGACAACACAGCATCCACAATATGTCAAACGACAATGGACAAAGGCTCGTAGGACTAGCATCGGCTAACAATATGCTTGTAAAGTCTACTATGTTCCAACATAAAAACATTCATAAACGGACTTGGGTCTCTAATGACCACTCCATGCGGAACCAAATTGACCACGTAATTATCGATCTAATAACGGCCTTGCCAAGTTAATATGGGAGGAAGCACCCACAAGAAAAAGGCCCTTAGGACGTCCACGAATGCGATGGAGAGACAATATATGGTCAGATCTAAGAACAATGGGGCTATCCACTGATCCAACTATTATGGACGACCGTTCAAGATGGAAGCAAGTTATGCAGTCAGCCAAGACCCAACCCGGGTTGTAGTGCTACGAGAAGAAGAAGAAGAAATTATAATATATATTTCGATAAATAAATATTTAAAAAAATATTTGTCTTTTTATGCGTTGCATTTTTTAGCCATCATTATATAATGGTTTATGTAACACCTCTTATTTGTAAGTAAAATTACCAATATGTATGATTGTTTTGGTATAGAATATAATTTATTATTAAAGCAATTTATAATTAAAAGTACCTGCCTTGGTAGCTGTGATTTTTTGGTCAGTCAATACCATGGTCAATAATGTAGCAAATAACGCAGCTCTAGTTGTAAATAAGTTGAAAGTCATAAACAAAGCTCTTACATACGACGACTTTGTTACAATTTTTAGTTCAGCTTTCCTCGCTAATTTAATCAAATGTTTGAACGGCCTTTCCCAAGCGTACATCTTGATTACTTGGACACCAGATATAACCTCATCCATCAATCGGACTCTCTCGTCCGTTCTTAGAGCAGTTTGTTTTCTATAAATTGCAGAAAGTCGACCAGTGTATGCTAAAAAAACGACATTTGATTATTTATTAGTTCATAATATAACTAAGATAAACTCTGTGTATACATTTGTTTTGGATGGATAATCTTTAATTAGAATATATGGAAAAATATCGAAAACTTAGTATTGAAGTTCGGTTCGGTTCGTATGCCCCTTTGTCCGCTTCTCGTCGATCGATGCTGGTAGGGTTAATAAATGTTGAAGTTGTGGAGTAAAGGTGATTATTTATTGACAGCAACTCGTAATTACACAATATGATGTTCGTTCGTTAACTACTCAATATTGACTGTGTTCATTTGAACTCAAATCCCCAATTTATAATCTCACACATAATAGATACATAAGCACCTTAGGTCATTGCTTCGTTCATTCACACCACCTAGCTTTTGCTTATAATACAATTTAATCTACGCCTTAATTGCGACACTTACGAAGTTCAATTAGAAAATATTATTATTCGGCAATTTATTTAGTTGTAGGTAAATGAACTAATATTAAATTATCATACGATATGGTTTTGCAATATATATAATGCAAACTTATACACGGTGAAACTATAAAAGATTAAGAAGTTAAGAATAATGTGAGATTACAAATTAAGGGGTTAATTTGTGATTGAACATATATGTTAAAATAAACTGTAGGAACCCTGTTACCAACAAAAATATTAGTGCCACCTTACCTTCACCTACATAAGCTTTATATTATAAACACGATAATCAGTATGAAACATTATCATTATCAAAAGATTATCATTTCTTTTTTCTAAAATTTCTCCAAAAAAAGTTAGATTTAAATGTATCTCTCTCCAATGGCGCTATAGCCCAGTTCGGTCACTGATCTCTCCTAGCATCCGCCTCCAAGCAACCGCTTCCTCGGCTTTTCTCCAGTTATCCACCCTCAGTATCTCTCTAGCATCGGTTATCACTTCGTCTATCCATCTCTTCCTTGGTTTTCCTACTGGCCTAAGTCCCACCACGCTTTCTACAAGGTGTTCTGATATTATTCATTTTTATAAGGTAACCTGCCCACGCAATCTCTGCATTTTTACATAATTTGCTATAGAGGGTTGTTTGTAATATTGATATAACTCGTGGTGGAATCTTATTCTCCACAAACTATTGTCGCAGATGGGTACCAATATCCTTCTTACACTATGGGAAAAAATCACTCATACCAGATATCTACCTGACTACGCTAAAAAGATTAAGCTATGATGGCGATTTCCCAAACATTTTCGTATGCATCTGCTTTCTGCATGGTCTTATACAGGTGTTCACTTAGACCCACCAGCTGTTTTATGTTTCCTAGGAGCTGTTTCGGAATATCACCAGTAGTAGATGGAATAATAGGTATTGTCTAGGTAATTTCCATTCTCCACTGTCTCCTTATTTGTATTTCTAGATCTCTATAATTGGCGATCCCACGATGTATTTAACCACCACTGTTTGGTCTGTGAGCACAGTGCGGTCCCAGCATAGCTTAAAGTTGTCGTTTTTAAGCTTTCTATCAAGATTCTGAAAAATGGTCGGTTTGGTGAAGTCCCAGTTTGTTGGCTAATTCGTGGTGAATAATCTTTCCTATTGAGTCATGGGGTTCTTTATAAATAGTACCAACAAATGCCTGGCAACCCCCGTTAAGATTAATTACTATTTAACTGGGAATAAGTCACAATTAAAGATAAAAATACGTTTATTGACGTTTCAATTTCCACTTCGGAAATCGTTCTCAAAATACGATCAAAAAATCCCCGTTAAGATGTTGGATGTTTTCTTGAGCTTGGTATCCCTATCGGCATTTGTCGTGTTGGACTTTGAGGGTCTTTGACAATATATTTCAGGTAATTTTTAGTTGGAACAACCTGATCCTGAATGGCCAGTAGGAAATTCTCTGTCTCGGGAAATATCTTTCCTGATGTCGACCAATAGTTCGACTCTGTACTGATGACATATTCTTGGCTAATCTAATTAAGATGTCGCCCATGCAGAGGTTTACTAATCCAGGTGCGTATTTTTTGGCGTTGTGTCATCTACTACGCAAATTACGCGATATAAAGTAAATGTTTCAGCTTGCGTTTGACAATAGAGTCTTAATTTAGCAACCTGTTTATCCATTTGACCACCCTAAATCCTATCCCTGGATATCGCGGTAATGTTGTTTTCTCTACTGCACTGCTTAGATGAGGTTTTTGTGCCTTTGTAAGAAGTGTTCTTGCCTTCCGCTGAAGACTTTCTATATCTGCATTTGACCAGTTTATACTACCAAATGAGCAGCTAAGCGCGGAACAGACGTATATATTTAGTGCCTTAAACAAATGTTTGCTAAAATATGGCCAATTTAGCTGTCTTGCTATTTAGAAGTGCTTGCTGCACTTTGAGATATTTGTACTTATCATTTTCACCCATTGCCTCGATGTTGTGGCCATCTTGTATATCGAAAACTCCGGGCTGAACCTTTTATCTGGTTATATTTAGCATATTGCACTTGTCTAGTACAAACTGAATACTGATATCATTTGAGAAAGTTTCTACAGTTTTTAGCCTCTGATCTAGATGGTTCATCCATATACAACAGATGATTAAGCTTCACCACAACAATATTATTATTTTTGCTAAACCTGACTCAGTGGAGTTCAGTAGCCGAGATAATGGGTTCATCGCTAGACAGAAACAAAGTGGTAAGCGAATACCTCTGGAAAAGGCCCCGGTTAATTAGGATATCTTCAATTTCGATATTGTTTTCACCAGATATTTGAAGGTGAATTTTAGTCTTCCACTTAACTGAATCAAAGACCTTCTTGTAGTCTTTGCTAATGAAGGCAGTAAAAATGCTCCTTTTTTTGTGTGTGCCTGGTTATGGTGTATGCTATAATTATTATTATGGTTTTATATATTTTGAACTTTCTTCCCTATAGATGTTCTTGTATTCTGAACCATAGAGTTTTTAAACTATTTAGTTTGTTTCAATTTGATTTTGGTAAAGAATTCTATTTAATTTACCTCTGTAAAACTCTCAGATGGCTAAAATCAACTTAAATGTTAGTTGTTACAAAATGAAGACCTCATCATAACAGCTGGATAAAATCATTAAGATGGAACTAGGAAAAATACTAGACTTATGCCTGGATTGGTATGAGGTTAGTTATTGTTTAGTATTTTGATCCAGTACTATGGCAGTAAAATATAAGACCGGAAACGAAAAAAAGAATATATAACACAATATTGAAACCAGTAATCGTGTATGGCTCAGAAGTACGGCAGCTATCACAAAAACTTAAAGGTAACCTCTTGGCAGTTGAAATGGATTTTTGGAGGAGAGCAGCGGGAAAGTCTCGATTAGAACATGTGAGAAATGAGGACATAAGAACTCAAATGAATGTACAAAGATCAATTATAGAAGACATCGAAAAACAACAACTGACATGGTACGGACATGTTAGACGTATGGGGGAAGAAAGACTACCAAAAAAAATATTAGAATGGGTACCACCAGAGAAAAGAAAACGAGGACGACCACCAACAACATGAATGCAAGGAATTTTAAAAGCCATGTCAGCAAGAAATCTATTTGAAGAAGACTGGCAGAATAGACAGGCTTGGCGAACGGGAACCCAAAGGCGGATTACGCTATAAACGGGATATATATATATATATATATATATATATATATATATATATATATATATATATATTGATCCAAACACCTGCGACAGAGATAAATATGCCCTGTTAAGGTCGATTCAGACACGTCAGTCCCGTCACAGTCTCGGCGCCGAACCGGTCCTGTTTGGTCACAGAACTATCAACTATCTGACAGCTGGCAAACTGTTCGCCAACTGATGAATGTGAATGCCGGCGCCATATTTCTATTAAAGAATATTTTGTATGACGGATTGTTCGGTTCGGCGCCAGGACTGTGACGAGACGTGACTGATGTGTCTGAATCGATCTTTAGCATGCATTATCCTTCTCCATATTTCCTCCTCCTCACTTAATTGACTGAAGCCAAACCGGTACCAAACCAGTATCAGAAAGGTTGCCAGGTCATATATTATTTCTTCAGTAGATTGAAAATAATGGATATAATATATCAATAGATTTTATTCAAAATTTATAATTGAACACTGACATAATGATCACTTTTTAAACGTGATTTTATCATTACATATTTTTTAGTCGATCGATATAGTGTTTCAGTAAATCAGTAAATTGAAGTTTAAATCAGTAGATCTGCTGACAAATCAGTAGACCTGGTAACATTGCGAGATGTAGCAATAAGCAACGTACAGGCACCAAACATGGCGGTCACATTTCGAAAGTTTATTAAATGAATGTTACCTGTCCTCTCTCTTTCCTTGTCTAAGTGTTTTATAACCTCAATATTTGCGTTGTCTATTTTCGAATTTTCCAAGGTTCCTTGTTTGTATTAGGACTTTAATTTTATCTACGTTGACAGCTACACCTTTTTCTTACACATTTTCTTTAAGTCTTGCATAAAGTTCTATGATGTCTCTCGGCTTCATCGTCTGCGGACATCATAATTTGTTGGGACTTATTAAACAATATATTTTATGGGTTTACAGACCAGGGGCGGCTGGTCCTATGAGGCAGGTGAGGCAGTGCCTCACCAGTATTAATCGACTATTTACGTTCTTTAACTACAATTTAACTTTTTGGAATTTTCTAAATAACTTTATTTTCATTATGATAAAAAATTAAAATAGGTACACCCCTGATGTCTTATCTTTGTATATTTCTTCATAATCTACGGGCCGGACAAGGGACAAGCTTAAACCACAAAATATTAAATAAACAACGGCGCCTATCACCTATCATCTGTGCATCTCATTCTCTCTTTAAAAAATATAGCCGAGGCAAGTCTCACGGCATTGCTCTGTCTAGCATATTAGACATTACATTATGTAGCGAAATTCAACATGATTTATTTATTTTCTGCCCACTATTTCACCGAACAGGAGAGGCAAGCCTCTCTCGTTTGGTGTAGTTCTTTTAATTAGCAGCGTTGCCGTTTTGGTACAAAGGTACCCAATTCGCTACATTTTTTCACTCGGGGTATAAAAGTACATTTTAAATAAAACATAGATTTTTATTTGAAAATTGTAACAACATTGGAGTATTTTCCTTTAGTAGATGGTACTATACATATTGTTCTATTGTTTTCCGATTTAACAAACAATATTTTTTTTCTATGCATTTACCAGATTAGCAACTTTGGTACATGTTGGAACATTTCTGCAAAATTGTTGTAGTAAGTAGTAGTTAAATTACTTCCTGTTGACCTGTTGGTGCGGCAGGATCACGTTTGACGTATCTCGTGTTGTTTTTCATTAAAAAAACAGTAAGATTACATGTTATATAATAAGTGCAATTCTAATTAAGTTTTTTTAATAATTTTGGTGGGTTTGTTTTTGTCTGCAGGATTTTCGGTTTTAGTGAAAAATGGATTTAGCACCGAGCACTTCGTCACAACTTTCCCAGGTAAATGTAAATATTCGTAATACTTGTAATCTCGTAAATTTTTTAGTCAAACAGCAGAATTTTTCAAGTCATTCATATGAAGATAAATTATATATAGTTAAAGTAGTAAAACGACCTATTCCAGATTTAAGTAAACATCTTGTTTCTATCGGTGGCGTCGGAAAACCAAATCGGGGATTTCAAAATGCATGGTACGAAAAGTTTGACTGGCTTACGGGTAGTATAACATTAAATAAATTGTTTTGTTGGCCATGCATTTTATTTGCCACAGCTAATACTAGCGACAAAGTTTGGTTCAAAAATGATTATACTGATTTGAAAAATTTGTCTCGGAGTCTATTGTTACACAATAAAAGTTCTCAACATATTACATCGAATTGCAAGCTTAATCTTATGAGAAAACAAAAGCAAAATATCGCTACAGCACTAGACAATTCGCGTAAAATAGATATTGAAAATTTCAATGCTAGGGTTAAAGAAAATCGGCAAATTTTAAAAAGCCTTACAGATATTACGTCACACCTCTGAATGCAAGAGTTACCGTTTAGGGGGCATGATGAATCTAATGAATCTTTAAATTGCGGGAATTTCAAAGAGCTAGTTGTTCTTGTTAGTAAATTTGACACTAATTTAAAAACATTTTTAGAACATGATAATGACTCTAGATCAGTTTTTTCTGGGACATCTAAAACCATACAAAATGAATTAATCGATTCAATTGCTTTTGTTATAAATAAAAAAATTGAGGAAGAAATTTCAAAATCATTATTCTTTTCCTGGCAGGTGGATGAGACTACTGATATAAGCTGCCATTCACAACTATCCGTTATTTTTTGTTACGTAATAAACAATAAACCAGTCGAACGATTCATAGGATTTTACGATGTAAGTTCCGGGCGTTCTGCTCAAGATTTATTTGAATTTTTATCTACCAAATTTGATCGTGAAGAAGATGGCACTAGATTAGCAGTCGCCATTTATAACACTTACTAACAAATCTCCCAGATAAAAAATACCTACTAACCCCCAAAAAAATATAAAAATCCCAAAACAATTAATAAAAAATATATAAATTCAAAAAAAAAATATAAAATAATAAAAAATTCACAAAAAAATTATAAAAATACAAAAAGGCCACGGGAGAGGCCACCTAGATCCTTGAGGCTACAACTTGGCCGCTAACCAAGGTGCAGGTTCGAGGATTACAGCTCCCTCGTTTTTCGTTCGCTTTTATCTCACGATATGAGATTTCATGATAAACGGGAGTAAGTCGCTTAACGACACCTTGGGTATGATTTAAATTACATTTATGAGCACCCTATTACACATGGTGCTCATAAATAAAGCTCAATCGCGGACTTTTTCAAACAGCAGTCAGCCCTTATGTTGCACCTTCAGTGCACATAAGGGAGGGTGGAGGAGGGCTTAGGAGAGCTTTGAGGTGAGGATGACTTTTGTTGATCCGCGCGCGTATCGTCAGAAGTCCTTCTCACGCCAAGTCATTGTTTGCTGGTGCGAGCAATGCCTCCTTAGCCGGGTATGACTGGAGCAAAGAGAAGCTAACCATAATAATAATAATTTTCCTTAAGTGTAGTGTGCCTCACCAGCTTGTACTATCACGAGCCGCCCCTGTTACAGACATTTTTTTATAACATATTCAATACATACACTAAACAAAGTCGGAGCTAGCCCATCTCGCTATTTTAGCCCTAGTTATCTGTAAGGAATCTGTCAGTTGTTTTTGGACTCATACTTGTGCTTCTGTGTGTGTCATAATAGATTAAACTAATTTTATCAATTTCCTTGGTATACAAAATTCTCGCATAATTAAATATATTTTATCTTAGTTTTTGTTGTTATAAACTTGTCGAAAATATACAGAAGATTTGGTAGATATCTATATCGTGCTCCCAGGCTTAGCTAATATTTGTTTAATGTTGGTTAATAGTAGACAGTCCTGATATTCTCCTATGATTTACTCTGTGAAATGAGTGAATCTACTATTTATGACCTATGTAAACATGTTATAGCTCACACAGCGAAGAATATGCCTCTGTAGTTTTTGCAGCTGAGTTTTTCTCCCTTCTTGTGAATTGGGTCTATAATTGCTTCAATTTCTAAATTTATCTATCAGTATGTGTCCTCGAATTTCAAAAATTTCAGTTGGTATACTGTCAAATCCTGGAGCTTTATTATTCCTCAGTGCTTTAATGGCATCCATTATTTTTTGTATTGTGGGTGGGTATGTTAATTCTTTAGTCTGGTTCTGAGCTTCTTTTATCTCCAAATTTATGATTGTATTTGCTCTATTAGCAGCATTCAAATGTATCGTCGGAACACAAAGAATTTAAAAAATTGTACATAAGAAAAAAGAATTTAGTAAAAGTATGCAAGAACAAAAAGTAATTAACTTACATTGCAAAGGTACCACGAGGAACACCGTCACAATACCCAGAATTGCTGCATAGCCAGCTTCTCTGTACATGAAGAACAAAATAAATATTGCCGAAGTGGGTGCTACCCACATGTGGTGGATAAAAATTGATACTATGTCAAACCTGCTGACATCGTTTGATAATAAATTAACTATTTTACCAGAAGCAGTGTCTCCTAATGCTGTGTGACTTAATCGCAGCGCCTAAAACAAAAGAATAAGTATTATGGACAAATATTTTTTATTAATTCTTTTTAACATATCCACACATTTCCTTTTTTACAATTTTAGCGTATTAACCTCTATAATTATTAGCCACAGATATTTGAAAAGTTCAAAGATACTAACGGTGACTTACCTAACCGGTAAGTCTCTTAGATGCATACTATACACCTATACAGATACCGACGTGTGTCAAAATAGGTAACCCGTCCGCATACTATCCAATGCAAACATTGACAGTAATACTGCGCATACACGTCATACGTCATTCCCAAACGGTAACATTAGAGTATGTGAGCTTTACATAATGATTCATATACATATACACATAAACATAGAAGTAATCCATCTTCTGTATAAAGAGAAGTTCCTCAGATATCATAAAAACTATCGAAAATACAAAAAAATCTACCAAAACGAAATGGAAGTCAGAATAGATGGATAACTTACAGAACATATAAACATAGGCAGTGGAATAAGACAGGAGGGCTCATTGAGCCCTATACTCTTCAATTTAATCATGGATAAAATCATCAAAATGTCAACAACGGAAGAGAATACAGAATAAGAAAGAAGTATAGTATAAGTAAGTATGGTGACATAGTACTGTGGAAAACATTTTATACGTTGCATTTAGAAGCGTAGTTCCTCTGTGGTTAGAGCATTCAAAGATATCTCCTTTTTTGTGTATGGTGCAAAGTATTCCAACATTCCAATCATTGGGGAGGGATTTCTGTGTCCATATTTCTTTTATGAGTTGCTGTAATGCCATTATGGTATCATGGCCACCTTCTTTATATAGTTCAGCTGGGAGATTATCTATTCCGGGTGATTGGTTTCTGGCTAGTTTTTAACTGCATGTTCAACTCAAAGAATCGTTGGTGGCTCCTCTTCCCTCTCGTTTGTTGTCCTTACCTCATCTCTTTCGTCTTCCAGGTTTTCTTCTTCTTCCTCTATATTAAGTGCCTGGTTAAGTATTCCACCAATATATTCAATATATCTTTCCTTGTTGTTAATAGGTCGCCATTCTGGCTTCTGTATTGTTTTGTGGCTGCCTTGAATTCCTTTCTGTTGATATTAACTTTCTTAGAATGCTCTGAATTCTTTCTCACTGTTGAGATTTTCTGTATATTTAGGTTCCTTATTTTGGTGCTCTCGTCTTTTTCTTTTGTGTATCCTCTTTTCTTCTCTTCTATTTGTCTGGTAATTATCTACAGTTCTAGTTCGTCGGGTAAGCATTCATCTTCAAAACCAATGATTTTTACGGGCACAAATGTCTGTTCCTATTACATCTTTCGCTGCCTCTTCAATCTCTTACTTTATTCCGGTCCAGTAGGAGTATATATGCCTACTTTCGCGTTTAAATCTCCCATTATGTTTATTTTACACTTTTTATTATACAATACAATTTATTCTCTTAATATGATCCCAACTCCATTCTAATGCTGCTTGTGGTTGTTTCCCGAATAATAAATTGTTTTACTAAATATTTTCACTTTTCCCGAGTCTGGCCATCTCATCTTAGTAATTCCAAGAACACCAATGTCAAGTCTTTCCATCTCTTCGTGGATCGATTGCATTTCTTTTCCACTTTTGGGTGATTCCTAGCATTTGACTTATATAAATATACCTGTATATTAAAATAGAACATCTCAGTGACAAGAGTTACAGCCTTGTTTGTCTTGATATAATATAGAGACGGTAGTTTTTATTTAGACTGCATTATTAGTTCAAAAACAATAAAAATGTGAAATAAGCTATTTTTCTGCAGATCCTCTCATATCTAATCAGACAATGTGATACTCGTTTGGCAAACACATTCATATTTGGTATACATACATTCATCATAAACATCCAATCGATTATGAGAAACATCGAGTTCAATGCTTGTTTATTGAATTATTCAGACGTTGTTTAATATTTATTTCATGGTGAAAGCCAAAAATATTTGAATCCCGTCGGAAAGTTAGTTTACCAAAATGTATCATCACACCGCATTTATATACCTCTTGAAATCTATCTTTGATTTGCATTAGTCAAAAGGAGAATAATTGATAAATCAAAATAACTTTTACTTACATACTTTTTTCTTTCCGTCGAAATTTTGAAACAAATTAAAGTGTATTGACAGCTGAAAGTGTGTTGAAATTGAATGACAAGCATTACGAATATAAATCTTTATTGACACTCGCTATAAGTCTTAAGGCCGTTCCTTGCGTTTCTGGGCATACCTAAGTTCCAATGTAAAAGTTTATATCAAATAACGCAAAAACTATGGCAGATATTGAGATGATTCTTTTTTTATATGAAAGATCTTAAAAAGTTCTAGTGCACTATTTAGTTGTAAATTAATAAATTGTTTAAACAATATTTTTTTTTTTCAAATATTTTTGGTTAAAATAAACGTAAAAAATTTTTTTTTGAAATAGGGCACTACAGAATTTGACCCACTGTCCGAATCTGTTTTTATTTTTAACATAAAGTGTAACACAAAGCAGTTTTGGTATAAACTTTTTTTAAAATCTCAAATTTTGCTAAATGTAACTTTCTCTCTCGGCCAGTACAGGCTGTCCTTGTCGATAGTTTCTGGATTCTCGTCGACACGGTTAGGTTGGTTAGGTAAGAAGTATAATACCCTCTCGAAGGTGGGTCATAAATAATGTTGAATAACATTATTAGGGTTTATTTCGACTTTTGACAAACCAGTGTGTTAATTGTTTTTAAAATGGGAAGTTCACGAAGAAGTTTATGTTCCGATTGAAGAAATTTTATATAAATAAGCAGTACCTATAATAAATACCTATAATTTGATTAAATTTTTATATGAATAGTTTCTGTTAATTTGTAACATTTTCCTTCTAAATGTTTATACTGTTTTTATAATAATACTATTGTTTCAGTATTTGCTTATATAATAATTTATTATGTAGAAACAGCGTCGAATTTTGGTCAATCAGCCAGTACATTTTTTTGTATTTCAATCAGAATTATTATTTTCTTTTCTTCTTTACATAAAAGCTTAGAGTAATACTCAAATATTTTGCAGTATTTGAATACGGAATTTGATTATTTATATTTATTGGACAATACCCAAATATTTTGCTGTATTTGAATATGGAATTTGATTATTTATATTTATAGGAATATTTATTTTCAACGTTTTTGTTAGTAAAGTTTACATAATATATGAAGTTTGTTTCTTCACTTGCTTGTCCAGCCATATTAGTCCAGGCTAATAAGGATTTTCTCGTGACACTCAATAATCCAGGTAGCTGACAACTTTTTTAGTTATTGTAGACCTATAAGAAGAAAACCTACCTGTTTCTTGCGTAAAGTTCGGAGCCGTTTTTTAATGATTAACAATTAATGCAAAAAACGCGTTTCTTTCGATTTTTGCACTCTATTATTTATTTATTTATTTTTACGCACAATAGGCCGTTAAGGCCTAAAGCATTTTTTTACAACATAATTCTAATATTAACTAATTACAATTATTTTAAACAAAACTTTAACGTAAATATGTATATATAACATTCTTAACTACTCTGAAGGACCTGGTGTACAATATTTTTCCATTCGCTTCTATTTTGTGCTTTTTTTTCCATTCCCTCACCTTCACGTGTTTAAGTTCTTCCTCCGCTTTACTAATCCACCTCGTTCTGGGTCTACCTCTTCTTTTGGGTTCGACTAATTTTCTGGTTATTACTAGTTTAGGAATTCTGTTTGCTGCCATTCTTTCCACATATCCCAACCACCTGATTCTTTGTGCCTTGACGAACTTGGTAATAGTAGGTTCTTTGTATAAAGCCATTAATTCATTGTTGGTTCTTCTTTCCCAACCATCTTCTGCCTTTCGTCCTCTGAATATGCATCTCAATATTTTCCTTTCCCATCTTTCCAGAGTATCCTCTTCCTTCTTATTTAATGTCCAGGCTCACCGGCATATGTTACTGTGGGTCGAATTACTGTTTTATATATTCTGAGTTTACCTTGTCTAGAAACGTATTTTGAGTTCAGTAGGGCTCTTAAACCACCTAATTTTTTATTCCCTTTTGCTATTCTGGCTACGAGCTCCCATTTATCTTTTCCATTTTCATCGAAAACTACACCTAGGTATTCAAATTTGTCCACCCTTTTAAAACTATAGCTTTTACCACTTACTGACCTCATACTAAAGTCTTCTTTTTTCCCTTCTGTTCCTTCTATGATCATATATTTAGTTTTGTCTTCATTTAGTTCCAATCCAAATTTCTGTGCTTCTTCGATGATTTTCTTCGCAACTCTTCTTAATTCTTACTCGGTTTTTGCTAGGATCGTTAGATCATCAGCAAATGCCAAGCACTGGTGCTCATTTTTCATGATCGTTTCTTCCATCTTCATGCTGCATTTTCTGATTACAGTTTCTAATACTAATTTGAATAATGTAGTGGATAAAGGATCTCCCAGTCTCAAGCCTTTTGCAACCGTAAATTGATCTGATATGTGACCCTGCCAAGCAGGGTGCTAACAGGTGAAGATGCTAACAGAGTAATGCCTCTATAGTTCTTACAATCCAGTTAATCGTCCTTTTTATGCAACGTATATTATTTCATTTAGCCACTCTTCTGGAACAAATTCATTTTGCCATATAAGTTCTATTAGTTTATGGGTTACTGCAAAAAGCTGATCATTACCTTTATTTATATATTTTCCAACAGATTTAATCGATTCCTGTGGCTTTATTGTCTTTGAGTTTTAGGACGGCATTTGACACTTCTATTATTGTTGGGTTTTCACTGTGTAGTTGTCGATGTAGATTTTGTTGATTGTCTATGTTGTAACCTCTTTCAATATCGTTTATATCATATATTATATATATATATATATATATATATATAATATGATATAATAATAATGTACTTATTCTTCTTTTTCAAGTTCCACTCCTATCGGAGATTGGAAATCATTCTGGCAATTATCATTTTGTTGGATATGCGCCTGAA